CTAAATTGAGACTCGTTTCCTTGTACCATAAATTATAAATCTCACTCCCTGAAAATATTTTAATAAGAAGCCCGATGACGATATTTAATACGAGGTCGACTTAGAATTGTATTGAAAATGTATCGTATTTCTATACTTTTTAAAGAGCAGAGTAGGTTTCATGGCTAATCACCAATTTATCAGATAATTCTAACAAAGTGTTGAAATTTAAAATCAAATTGTAAACATGCATTAAGCTCGGTTTGAAATATTGAACAACATATATCACTGAGCACTCACAGGACACAGCTAGAGAGAGAGAGAGAGCAGGACTGATAACTCTCCACCTCCCTCCTAACTATACACTACTGAGGTCTGACAAGAGATAGGAGAAGTGAGGACGAATCAGGAGGATCGGAGAGCAATTGAGCCGGGGAAATAAAAGAGAGAGGAATCCTTACCGAGTTCGCGTTGCTATAGATATTAAGATACAATTACTTAACAACATTATACAACAGGGATATATATTTTTAGTATAATTTGACCTCCTCCCCTTTTAGGGGATTAGGGAAAATAATTTCTGAAGCTGATTTGAAAAAAAGATTTTTTGATATTTCAGTGACTTTTCCTCAGTATTTTTTTTTAAATATCAACATAGGATTTAATTAGTAATGAACAAAATAAAAAAACCACTTGTAATATGATTTTTTTTATTTAATTATATGACCATAGCTAACATATTGATAGACCAACTGTAAAAGTGATTATAACAATTAGGAGGAACGAACAATAAAAAAACGGAGGAGAAAAACACAGAAATTAACAAAAAAAAAATCAATCATAGAAGCATCGAAAGTAAATGAAAGCTAAAAAAGGGCAGAATGTGTTTGTAATATGTTAATGTAAAAGATAAGAGGAATATTACAGGTAAATAAAAAGGGTGAGAAAAAACTAATTTGCAATAATATGTAATTTGCAATTCTCATGTGATAAAAATTAATCACAACTCTACTTAATACAGGGAAGTTAAAGGAATTTTACTTTATCAAAAGGTCCCAAGACCCAGGGGCGAATACAGTAATTTATTAGAGGTGAGCGAAAGTAATAATGCCCGAAGTGCGAAATTTTTTCTTGCTCACTCTTAGAGGGGAACAGCTAGGGTAACACTAGAGAAAATATAAACCTTGATTTTCACCTCATATTGAACAAGTTTTAATAGTTACTAGTTATATCATGGTGTAGTTATATCATATATATACATAATATATAGTTTAAGGTGTAGTTATATCAGGTTCACCCTCAAAATTTAACAGTTTTCTGTTGCGCCCTTTTTCTTCTGTTTTTTTAGTTGTGGACTTACACTCATGTCACTCTTCGGTCTTTTATATTTTAACCAAACAGAATTTATTTAACATTTGGATTTTGGAATTTCAGAATTTCCTCTCTATTTCCATCGCTCATCCTTGAAGCTTCAGCCTCGGGGGTGAGCAATTTGCCAGGGGCCACTTCATGACTGACCCTAGCATCCTCCCCTTCTCAGACCAATTTTGACATACAGTGAGTTAAAATACGAAAATATATTCCTTACAAGGATTATTATGAGGACTGCAAAATCTAGAAAAAATCTAGTTTAAAAGAATAGAAAAACTAGGAATATCTAGTTTAGAAGAATAGAAAACCTAGAAATATCTAATTTAGAAGAATAGAAAAACTAGTAATAAAGTTTAAAAGAATAGAAAACTAGAAATATCTAGCTTAGAAGAGTAGAAAATCTATAAATATCTAGTTTAGAAGAATAGAAAACTAGAAATATCTAGTTTAGAAGAATAGAAAACTAGAAATATCTAGCTTAGAAGAATAGAAACCTAGAAATATCTAGTTTAGAAGAATAGAAAACTAAAAGTATCTAATTTAGAAGAATAAAAAACCTATAAATATCTATTTTAGAAGAATAGAAAACTAGAAATATCAAGCTTAGAAGAATATAAAAATATAACTATATTATATATCTAGCTTAGAAGAATAGAAAACTAGAAATATCTAGCTTAGAAGAGTAGAAAACCTAGAAATATCTATTTTAGAAGAATAGATAAACTAGAAATCTCTTGTTTAGAAGAATAGAAAACTAGAAATATTTAGCTTAGAAGAATAGAAACTAGCTTATATTAATAGAAAAAAGTGAACTAAAAGAATAGAAAAACTAGAAATCTCTTGTTTAGAAGAAAAGAAAACCTAGAAATATCTAATCTAGAATAATAGAAAACTAGAAATATCTAGTTTAGAAGAATAGAAAAACTAGAAATATCTAATCTAGAATAATAGAAAACTAGAAATAAAATAAAACTAGAAATATATAAATTATAAACTTTTCAATCCCCCCCCCCAAAAAAATGCAAAAGTAAAACTTTCCAGTATCATTGACATATTTGATAAGGAACTATATCCGCAGTTCTTTACATTTTAAAGCGATGAACGGGTTCGAAGTCAGTAAGCGTAAAAATAGATATTTCTTCCATTTAGAATGAATCTAAACATTCGCTATATAATTAAATGCGTAAAATAAATAAACAGACTTTTTGGCCAAAGTGCAAAACTCTAATAAAATACCGAGAACTCATTTCTCAGTCATGCTTATCTTTGAGGGTTTCGCGCTTCCCTAGTTTCAGGATTCATCTCAGGATACATCTTATCTTTATCAAGTTCTAGGATTAATTTCATCCTTCTCCAGTTGCAAGATTCATCTCATCCTTCTCCAGTTCCAGGATTCATCTCATACTTCTCCAATTCCAGAGTTTATCTTATCCTTATCCAATTCCAAGATTTATCTAATCCTTATCCAGTTCCAGCATTCATCTCATCCTTCTCCAGTTCCAGGATTCATCTCATCCTTCTCTAGTTCCATGATTCATCTCATCCTTCTCCAGTTCCATGATTCATCTCATCCTTCTCCAGCTCCAGGATTCATCTTATCCTTCTCCAGTTCCAGGATTCATTTCATCCTCCATTCCAGGATTCATCTAAACCATCTCCAGTTCCATGATTCATCTCAACCTTCTCCAGTTCCAGGATTCATTTTATCTTTCTCTAGTTCCAGAATTTATCTCATCCTTCTCCAGTTCCATGATACATCTCATCCTTCTCCAGTTCTAAGATTTATCTTAGCCTTCTCAAGTTCCAGGAATCATCTCATACTTCTCTAGTTCCAGGATTCATCTCACCCATCTCCAATTCCAGGATTCATCTAATCCCTCTACAGTTCCAGGGGTTTTCTTCTCCTTCTCCGATTCCAGGATTCATTTCTTCCTCCTACAGTTCCATAATTTATCTCATCCTTCTACAATTCCAGGATTCATCTTATCCTTCTCCAGTTCATGAATTCATCTTATCCTTCTTCAGTTCCAGAATTCATATCATCCTTCTCCAGTTCCTGGATTCATCTCATCCTCCTCCAATTCCAGAATTCATCTAATCCTTCTACAGTTCCAAATTAATTTCCTCCTCCTCCAGTTCCATAATTTATCTCGTCCTTTTCTAGTTCCAGGATTCATCTTACCCTTCTCCAGTTCATGAATTCATCTCATCCTTCTTCAGTTCCAGAATTTATATCATTCGTCTCCAGTTCTAGGATTCATCTCATCTTTCTCCAATTACAGGATTCATCTTATCCTTCTTCAATTACAAGATAAATCTCATCTTTCTCCAATTCCAGGATTAATTTTATCCTTCTCCAGTTCCAGGATTCATCTCATCCTTCTCCAGTTCTAGGATTAATCTTAAACTTCTCCAATTCCAGGATACATCTCATCCTTCTCCAATTCCAGGATTCATTTCATCTTTCTCCTATTCCAAGGATAATCTTATCCTTCTCCAGTTCCAGGATATATCTCATCCTTCTCCAATTCCAGGATTCATCTCATCCTTCTTAAATTCCAGGATTCATCTCATCCTTCTCCAGTTCCAGGATTCATCTTATCCTTCTCCAATTCCAGGATTCGTCTCATCCTTCTCCAGTTGCAGGATTCATCTAATCCTTCTCCAGTTCCAGGATACATCTAATCCTTATCCAGTTCCAGGATATATCTCATCCTTCTCCAGTACCAGGGTTCATCTTATCCTTCTCCAATTCCAAGATTCATCTTATATTTATCCAGTTCCAGGATTCATCATATCATTCTGCAGTTCCAGGATTCATCTAACGCTTCTGCAGTTCCAGGATTCATCTTAGTCTTCTCCAATTCCAGGATTCATCTTGTCCTTCTCCAATTCCAGGATTCAATTTATCCTTCTCCAGTTCCAGGATACATCTTATCCTTCTCCAGTTGCAGGATTCATCTTATCCTTCTCCAATTCCAGTTTTCATCTTGTCCTTCTCCAATTCCAGTTTTCATCTTGTCCTTCTCCAATTCATCATTTTAAACTCGAGTTCTAATTCCGCCTCAATATGTTTTATTTTGAACATAATGTATATTATTCTTATTTTGATTTTCATTGTCTCGATCTACGTGAGTTTATAAATAAGTTTAAATTGAAAATGAGAAAAAGGTTTAACTTGTTTAAAGGAACTCATAAGTTAAGTAAATTAAACCAGAAAGAATAAAGAATGTTAAGTTACGGCCATTCTAAGAAGCATTTAAAGGGACTGTTAGCATAAATTCAAGTGTCCCTCCATGTATAGATGCCAATGCCCGATTTACAACGGTCCCCTTGTAACGTTTTTCTGATCAATGATGAAGAAGATATTTTCGTTTTTCTAGAGAACCAAAAGTTCAAATGAATTGGTATTTACAAAGATATCTGATTCAAATTTGATCAGACAAATCTTGAACCATTGTGAATCGAGCTTTACCATCGTTGCATGGAGGGTCACTTGAAATAAGGCGTAATCACTTGAATTTGACTTCAAGGTTTTTGAGCCAATTTCTGTCATTGACAATTTTGTGATTTAAATGTACAAAAATCAAAAATTTGAATTCTCTACATCTATAGCTTCATCTATCTATAGCTAGGTAAATGCACCCTAATTTTTATAATCTATTATTTTTATTTCTAAATTTAATAATTGAGTTTAAATAACAACTATAATAACATAACAGCGGCTTCTTGGCTTGGCTTTCCATCCAATCAGAACCCTAATTTCAGTTTGTTTATGTTGGCCTTACAAATCATGTACATCGATAATTTTTAACAGATTCATAACACTACTGTCAACAATCCTATTCTACAGTTAAGAATTAAAATTAAGAATATAACATTTAAATAGATACCAATTATTCACTGGGTCATATTTTCTAAGAAAGAGAACAGGTAATTTTTGCAGTCTCCCCCAACTAGTTTATTTATACCCTCAAAAGTTAAAATTCTTCCGAGAGTTCTGTTCTGTTTTGAGCAAAACCATCATTCATTTTCTCGAAGAGTGCGGGATCGAAGGGTGATTATTTTTAAAGAAAATATAGACCCCTGAATCAAATACATAGTTAATATCTATCCTAGACAATCAATATAGAATAATATATTTAATATCCAGTAAGAAGACTAAAAATGCCCCCCCCCCCTCCCCGCCCAAATGATAGATAAGTTTTTTTGGAAGGGAGGTGGGGGGCTGTTTCTCGACTAAATTTGAAAAAAAAGATTTTTAAAGGAGGGAAATAAATGATTTTTTTTTTGGGGGGGGGGGTGGGGCTTAATAATACACCACAGTGATAAAGGATGGGCTGAATTAGCAATTTCAAAGGTTTTATGCATCATTTAAACATATTAACACTTTAACAAGTTAGGATTTGTAAGAGAATTAATTCTAATGAATAAAATTTTGCTTCAATGAACTTAATTCATCACATTTTCTACTCTTAAACAAGTAATTTCAAGTGAACCTCCAGGCCAAGATGGCAATGTCCCATTCACAACAGTACCATTTGAAACCATAATCTGGTCAGAAATGTGGAAGATAATGGCGTTTTTGCGAGTCGAAAAGTGTTCAATTCAGATAGTTTTTCCATTGTTTCTTATAAACAAGAAATGAGCAAGACACCACAAATGAAAATATTTAAAACAAAAAGAAGTTAATATCTATATCAAACTTGATCAGACAGAGCTTTTGAGGGTGACTTTGTAAACCCGGCATTGCCATCTTGGCATAAACTGTCAATTAAAAGTAAGCTGAATATCCCATTAAGTAAATCATGATTAATTAGTACAAAGCAATTGAACTACTAAACTACTAAGTTGAACTCTGGACGGATCTGAGATTATTTTTGCTCCAGGGTACCCCGGTTCCTGGGTTAGAAACTTATATCCCTAGGCAAGTGCATCTTTAACTCCTGGATCTAAGAACTAGTGTTCTCCGGGTTACAGTGTGCCTGGGGCCGAATATTTATTGAATTTGAACTGCCTACCGACGGCTTAAATTGATATCACTTTTAAAAACTTTAAATCGATAGTTCAAATTTGAACCGACATTAAGTAGTTCAGCGACGCAGCTCAAATTCATTGAATTCGGTCCCTGACTCACTAAACCAATCATTTTCCTGTTTCACTAAAAACTCTCCCTGACTTGACTATCAAAAGTTCACTGACAGCGTTACCATCGAACGTTTTGTTTATATTCTGGAAGAACACTCATTTTCTTAACAGACTCGTAGCCCAGGATGACCGCTAAACTATATATACTCGAGCTGGTCATACGAGCAGTCAATCCTTTGGTAAATATGTTAAGCCTCTCGCTAGCCCACAGAAATCTAAAATCAAATCGTATCATAAGTATCCAGTTTTACGTTCAGCTTATATGTTTGTTGGAGTCCAAGTCCAACCAACTGAAGTAATTGGGTCCAAATGTTTAAAAATATATCAAGTGACCCCACGACAGATTTATAGCGGGTCGAAATGGAGATTTTTCCCCCCAAAAAAATGCCGATCAAAGTGATAGCAAAAAATCGGTAAAATATTAGCTTTTTTTAAGTAATAAGAACAAATTTACGCTTGAAAAGCAAACTTTAAGGCTAAAAATGAAACTAGAAAAAAGTGACGCCTAGTTTCACAATGTTTTAAAAGAGGAACTAGAAAATAATAAAGTATTAAGTTGTTACGCGAGCCATGCTGCGTGAAGAAAGTCTGTTTGTCGCCCCTGCGTATTTCTGAGTTTCTCCTGAAGATCTGTACGGAATGTATTGTGAAAAAACTAGTTTAGGAACTGTTTACAGTCCGACTGCGCAGACGCAAGATTTCTAGCGGAGTAGTAGTGATATTTATATTCAGTATATGTTTATTCGTTTTGCAAGTATTTTCCGTGTTCAGAATTCTGGGATCACCGTGGTAATTATTTATATATATATCTATGTTTATTGGTTGATTCTAGTATGTTTGATGATTATGTATTCGTTTATTGGTTCCTAGCCACAGTTTTTTAATGCCTGAGTGGATTATTTGTTAGATTTGTATGATTTTCACTCAAAGCTTTTTCTGTGGGTTTATTAAACTTGTTTAGATTGAAGGCTCAGAGAAATAAACGTTCGGAACCTTACTATCCTCCTTTTTATTATGAAGAGCGTTGAGAGAAGGGAGTCTTACGATCCAATCCTGAGAAATACCACACGGTACATATATTAGGTCTTTAGGGAAATCGCTAAGTAGCGAAACATAAGTTTTAAAATATAAAATTTGTTTAAAATAACTTATTCAATGTTTAATAATCTCTTAATAAGATTTGAAGTTTTAAGATTAACAAGAATAATTTAATGGGATCAAAAAGTTTTAATTAAAGAATTCTTTTCATAGGATTTAAATCATGGTTTTGAAATTCTTAGTAATAAGAAATATTTATAAAAGAATTAAATTCCAAAAGTTCAAAGACAAGAATATTTTAACAGAAAAATGGCTAAAATTCAGCGATAATACAAAAAAATCTTTCTTGGCTCTAAAGAATAAAGACATTGTATCTAATCTTTGTTGAATGAACAAAATTTCGCTTATAGGGATTTTCGAAGTAATTTTCTGTATCTGTAAAACATAAGAAAGGTATAGTATTTTTTTTTCTGATAAAATGTTAGATTACCGAGGTAATTCTATATAACGTAGGAACCCAGTATGTACCGAGGTAATTCTATATAAAGTAGGAACCCAGTATGTACCGAGGTAATTCTATATAAAGTAGGAACCCTGTATATCTACCTGATGGTGTCGGGGATAGTTTTTCTCTGAACCTGGACCCTCGTCCTCACCAGGTCCATCGGATTCAGCAGTACAGAGGTTGTACAGCCAGACATTACAGCTGCTACACACTGTACACCAGTGTACGGTAGAATAGAATGCGCTACACTTCCAACCATATCCTAGACAACAAAAATCATAATAAAAAAAACAACAAAAATAAAAAAATAAAAATACCATCAAAAATACAACAAAACTTTAAAAATTAAATGACAACCATTCCCGTCCCCACTTCTAAAATTTTTCCCTTAACCTTTGATAGTTAATGATGGAGAATAGTCATCCCAGGATTAGGAAGAAGATGATATGGTCTTGTAGGAGTTTGTTATATTTGCAAAGATTTAAACGAATAGAAAGGAGGAGAGATCAGGGGTGCTATATAGTTCTAGAAATAACCCTACACCAAGAATTCATTTCCTCTTAAAATAATTCATTTTCAAGAGCGAGAAGTTGCTCTTTGGAGGAGGACCTAGGGGGGGCCAGGGGATATGGCTAGAGGGATGAGATGCTATAGGGATGAGATGCTAGAGGGGTACCTGATAAACTTGGTAAAAAGTCCACCACATTGCACTGTTAGGAACATAGTTACACAAACTAACTATATATCCTCGATAGAATCCCCTAAACACATAAACATGAATCAGAAAATAAAATAAAATAGAATAAAATAAAATAAATGTTTATTATAAGAGATTTTTTGTGAGAAATGCTTAGATTCCGTTTCCTTCTTCGAAGAATAAAAAGGGCGCCATGTAAAGTTTACTGAATCCCATCACTTGTCAAGCACGGATCCTAGATCCAGATCTACATTAAATGGAATGTATCATTGTAGGAGATTTACCTGAACCCATCCCGTTTATATATTGTTCTTGTTACATCCCAGGCAACCTGACTTTTAGTTCTACCAGTGGTATTTATAGCTAGAGGATTAGCGGATACATCTCCCTGGAATATTTTATATACTATAAAAAGTGCCTGGCGTTGCCAATGCCTATCATGCATTAACCTGTGTGGCTGCCTTCAACCTTATTTTATCTTAATACAGATCTTATGATTAAAAAATAACTAAAACTTTTAAAATAAAAATTGTTCTTCAAATTTTTACCTTTTTAGAAATAGTTCCCAAAATCATAAGGTGCTGAGAGATTACGTCGAAAGGAACTATAATGGTTTGACCGACTAAACTAGCGGATGCGCCACCCACTGGAACCAATTAATATTTTTGTTAAAAAAATTTAATTATTTTAAATTAAAAAATAAAACGATTCAAGCATCACAAAAACAAGAAATTATAACCAGTAGCTCAACCTTTTCAATCTATTAATTAATTTTTAAAAATAAGTTTCTTTTCTTTTCAAAAAGTTATTAATTTACTGGAATTTATTTGTATCATTTTATCTTAGTGTTCGAAATAAATCTATGATAATAATAATAACAATATAAAATAAAGTATTTAAGATTTTTTTTAAATTACGTTAATGCGACGATTTATAAATCCATATCATATCAATGAAATGAAGAACTAACTTGTTGAAAATAATCAATCAATCAAATATAAAACATAAAATTTTAATGTTCCTAATGCTTTAATTTTGTTATCTTTAACTCCGTTATTGTCTAACATGTGCCGCACTCCCTCATACGTTGATACATAACACAGGCCAGATACAACCTGAACATAACACACACAAGTTTATAACAAAACATAACGTGATTGCTTATTTCATAAATTTTAACCAAAATTACGTTTGAATCTTTTTTTACTTTTTCGCATTCATTAGATTTAATTATTGATAAACCGAAGAACATCTGTGAAAAAAATACAAATCATTCATACTTAAAAATTATAATGAATGAATTGCGATGCTAACAAACTGGAATGAATATTTTGTATCATTTATTTGCATTATAATGTTAAGATATAATCATATTTTTATTCCCGCATTTCCTGAAATTGACCTGAAAACAGCTGATCCAGAATCCCGTGTAGAGTCCTTTAATCCCTTCTGATTTGAGAATTTTACTGAATGCATCAAAAGTTCCTTTATACAACGCATTCTGATGCTGAACCTAAACAACGATTATAAAATTACAAATACAAAAAGATTTATGGGTACTGTTGTGTATCAAATATAGAAATTAAGAATTAGTTTTAACCACTTTTCAGTCCTCATCCTTTCTTCTCTTTTTTCGTTCTCTGCTTTTCCTCCACTTTCTCTTATTTACTTTAAACCTTTTGTATACAAGATTTTTACAATTAACATGGTAGAATGTTTGTGGGAAATATTAGGTATTTTTCTAGGGTATTATTCGCTTTATTGGTTGAAATACAGGTTTTTTGAGAAAAATTAAATAATTTTTGGCCAAAAAAGGATGAGGAAGGATGAGAAACCCCTAAGAATCCCATTTTGACCCTCCCCCTCTGAAAACTCATATTTATATGTTCAAAGAGGATTAAAAAGCTGGATTAATATTCTCCAAGATTAATATTACCAACCTGTAATCTAGTTCTGACAAGAGTAAGCGGGTAGAGAAAACAACGAACTGTAAACGATGAAACCATGGAGTAGGGATAAAATCTTCTTTTGTCCAACATATCCCATTCTATCGTCTGCACTCGACTAAAATGACTAAGATATAGCCTATTGTCAAAATAGGAAAAAAAGAGAAAATGATAAATTTGACAATCTAACATATCTTTAGATTAGAAGTGCTTCTCTGTGCTGCTCTGTTTGTGACTAATAAACGTCAAGTCCAATTTTGGTATTAGACCCTTCGATCTTTGCGCTTAAATATAAAATTTAATTTTTTTTTTCAGTCTAAGCGTTTTAGAAATCTCAAAACGTCCATTTAGTAAAATTTCAAATAAATCCGACCTTATTTAGATTTTAAAGCTTTTTTTCCAAGGTTAATAAGTGAGTTTCTTAAAAGACTACCTGTGTATTATTGGAGTTATTGGAGCAATTGGAGGAGTGAAGACCATTGTGGAAGAACAGAGGTAAAATTATTTAAATCAGCCAACAAGGGTTATCTATAGATCTTACGTCGGAACAAAAATATCTCACTTTCTTTGATTGTTAACAACATTTTTCAATTTTACATAATTCAGATCTGAAAATAGCACAAATTTGATATTAATATTACAGAAATCGGTTCTTAAATGTGAAAAAACAAATTTCACTCTTTTTAACTGATCAAGTAGATTGATTGATTGATTAACGTTTATTTCTTTTTACCCAATTACTGGTATTTTAAATCTACTGATCACGTACTTAATGCATGATTTTTGAAAGACTACCTACAAAAAAAATTTGATCTCAACCGGTCTCAAATTTAAACTTAAAACTACAATAAAAACAAAAGTGGTTCGATAATTTGTTGAATATATCCCTCAAACTTCTTAAAGAAACATTAATAATACCCTGACATTTTTGTGCTTTTCCCCCTGAAGACTAACTCAAGTACGAATGCCGCGATTTATTAAACTACAAACAATTATATAAAAATTAATTTTCCAATTTACAGGTTTAAAATAGAAACGCAGACAATCCATTTAAAAAGAATTCTTTCATACAATATTTTAGACCAGAGAAATGTTTCGTTTCGCAAATGGTAATCATTTCTTTTAACTAAACTTGGTCGTCTTCTATTTGTAACATACAGGGTGTCCCATGTCATACAAAATTGTGTTAAATCTTTACATTTCAAGAATTGAAATCAACGATTTCATTAAAAAAATTGTACATTGCTGAACTATAACGATTGGGTCCGTCCTAGTAAAAGATTTTTGGACCCCCCCCCCCACCACAAGCGGTCCGAAGTATAGTAGGACGGATGAAACGTTGGGCTCTATCATACTATAAAACTTTAGCCTGCATTATAGAGACGAACGGAGTATTAACACTCAAAACTAGAATTAGAAGAATCAAGTAAAAAATTTACCTTTGGACTGTCAAATCTGAACTATTATTCTAGGATAAACTACAGCTTGAGATGATAAAAACAGTAAAATTCAAGTAATTCTTCTTCTTAACAACTTTATTCAATTACCAAAATAAATCAATAGTAGTATGTCTTATTTTAGAGAAAACTTCTCTCATTATATCTTCGTACCTATTGCTGTAATGAGCTGCTTTTCGCAGAGCTCTCCAATGATTAAGGTCTAATCAAAAACATTATAGAATAATTTTGCAAGCGTAGTTGCAGACTTTTCATCTTTAAGTTGAAATTGCGAACTATAAAAACTGCAATATGTAAGTAAGAGTCTAATTGCAAACGTAGTTGCAATTAAATGACTTTTCGACTATATGAATATAAGAAAAATTAAAGCAAATAAAAAGAGAAATAAAACCAAAAAATCCGAAAAAAAGACTTTTCATCTGAAGTTAAAAAAATGAGACTTTTCGTCCAAGAATCAGATAGAATTCCATTATGAGATCAGTAAAATTTAAAAAAAACAAAGAATTGAAAACATCAAAAAAAATACAAGTAACTAATGGTTATATTTGCTTTAAACAGAAGTCAGAACTGTTGTTAATCTCGGGAACAACCGCGCACTGAACTTCATCAAATGTAGATTCCGTCATGGTCGTACCTTAGAGAATATCTAAATAAATGAAGGGTCAAGCATTGATCCTCCGATTTTAAAGTTTCCATATTGTATATCGAGATCTAGCGTTAGGATGAAGGATACTCTACAAAAGTTCCAATGTCTACAAGCGAAGAAAATATTAGCTGATGACCGAATGAGAAAAAATAAATTTTGGATATTATTTTAAGTGTTTCTAAAACTCCACAGGGCATTTCAGCTAATAGTTAATTAGTCAAGAGCTCTGGAAAATCGACACAATATTGAAAACATTTATATATCCTTCGCAGAAGGGAAACAATTTATTACAAGTAGAAAAAATAGATATATTTAAACAAATATATTGCAGACGTTTTACTATTTAAACTTAAATAAAGTTTAGCAAACGTAAGAAGCTGCCGTATCGTTAAGGGAATGTTGGTGTAATTTTCCTCCATTTTAAGAGGGGCATGTCCGATTCACGTTACCCATAGATACCTTTAAACCGTTTATTCTTTCTTAAAAGCGTTTAATTATGACAAATTCTCCATCGTATCTGAATCGGAAAAGCACACAAAAAATTGTGTGGCTATCTTAGGCATGCTTTTGTAGATGAGCCTTTCAGGGTACCGTTGTGAATCGGAGATACCACTTTGTAAATAGAGTCACTTTAAATTACATCTGTACAGCTCCTGTTGAGTAATTATTGTACAAGATTGCTTTGGTCTGTATTGCTATAGAGAACAGTAACAAACATTTCATCTCTTCAAAACAAAGAGAAGGAAAAATAAGTTTGATATATTGTAGATAAGTGAAGCTTTATCTTGTTAATCAATGCTCTGGCACATAGTTCTAAGGTCAAAACTTGTGTTGTGAAAAAATTAAGGGATCATCAAGCAATAATCCGAACCTCTACCTGTCCTAGGGATTTAATCAATAACGTGTGTTCCAAAGAGTATAGAATAGACGAGAGATACAACTGACGCGGTACAATTACCGCGTATACAATAACCTATTCTGAATATTTCTTATTTAAAAGGAGTACCGTCTGCAAAGCATGTTATAATCATATGGTAGGGCAGGCCACGTCGGTTGTGTCTCCCTGGGATTCCATACTCCTTGGTGTGTTCGTAACCCATGACAGGAATAAGTAAAAATCAAGGAATCCAGCACAATACCATTGTCACAGAATATAATTTATATTCAGATCAAGATAGTGCTAATTCTAACAAAAAAGCTTTGACCTCAGAGAATTGAATTAAGCAAATTTTACGAAGTAATCAAAACGTACTTTTTACTAAATATCCTAATTATGGTTCAATGTTTTTAGGAAAGTAGTGATAAGCGTAACAATTAGCAGATAAGGATTTACAGCAAGTAACAGTTATTGGTTAAGAAGTATAAGAAGTAACATTTAACAGTCGGTAAATTTAGATTGTTTGAAGATCTGGGAACAGATATAATCAGCGTGAAGAAGTTGAACACTAACAGCGTCGACAAAGTTGAACCACTTCTCTTCATGTTGAAATGTGAAATGGTTCGCGGTTCAGCTAATTCTCACTTTTCATTAAATCTGATCCCTGGAAAAAAACTGATCGTTTTTTTCCGACTTCGGAATATTCCAGCGTATTGAACAAAAATCAACACTTGAATTGTCGTCTGGTGGAGTTTTGGCATTTAACACAGCTTCATGGCTTCACTTTGAGATGGATGTTTTTAACTGATCATCTCCGACATTTCTTCACCTTCCTCCTTTATATCATAAGGCAGAGGTTTGTTCATCTTGGTCAACAGCCTTGGACCTTAACAAGAACTCAACATAGAACATTTAAATTTTCAATTGATTTTAGATCTACTTTTGTAGTCAGCCCTTGAAATAATTTTCATCATCGGCTTGTAGACGGGTGAATACTATACATATACATCCTAGCTCTAATTTGAATTAAGAAACTAGTATAGAATATTTAAGTTGTTTTCATATATCGTGAACATTTTATCAGAGATAATTTTTTCAGAAAAATAAAATTTAGTAGCAATGTTTTTTTTTTTTTGAGTTTTTATCGCTGAATTTGATTTAATAAATTTTCCTTAGTGTGTGAGTAAAATGTCAAAAAGAATGAAAAGAACTGCCTATTAACCCTATTTTTCATTTGTACACCCTGCTAACCATTCCCCCTGATCCAGAGGATTGGGGTTAATTCTGAAAAAATATTTACCCCTGCACTAACCTGACGCCATGATGGCAACTGCTCCAATGGGAGCGGTGATGAGAATTACAAGAACAGCCAAGGTTAGAACCTTCTCTGCTAACTCCAGTTGCTCATTTAACTCTGGCAGATTCTCTCCATCCATCCCAGCTTTCCTAGTCAACAAACAAATATTAATAAAAAACAGGCATCCATAACAACATTTTCATTCATAGAAAAATATATGTTCAATGAATTTACAATTGAAAGATTAATAATTTCGGAAAAAAATAAGTATCATCTTTAGGTAAAAACACCAACAACAACATCAGAACATACCTAAGAGCTTGAGTTGCCAGGTCTAATGCTAGAGGACCTATTGCAGCTTGAACAGTGGCCTTGGGTAACCAAGCTAATGCTATAAACATGCGTTCTCTAAAAAATTGTCTTTAGAAATTCCAGTGCTTAAGATCCGGATCCGTTGGATCCGCAAGATTTCGGCTTTCTGGATTCGGATCCGCAAAAATATGCGGATCCACGGATCTCAAAACCCTAATCTGAACTATTGGAAAAAGAGATATTTTAATATTTTAAAAATTTCCTGATTTCTGAATCATTCATCAAGCTTTAGCATAAAAATAATCGAAAGAAATGAAAATTCTGCTTTGATACAAAAATCAGTAAATTTTTTAAAAATAACCTGGATCCGGATCCATTTTTTCCAGAGCGGATCCAGGATCCAGATCCGAACCCGCATCAAGACTAAATGGATCCTAAGCACTGAGAAATACTAACTTTTATCCAGTGCTTAGGATCCATTTAATTTTGATGCGGATGCGGATCCTGGATCAGCACTTGAAAAAAGTGGATCCTGATCACAGGTCATGAACATTTCTTTATGATTTAATTTCTCCAACGGATCCGGATCTAGTGTGTGAAAAGAAAACTCAAAGCAATATGTTTTTAAATAATTGTCAAAAGTGCATCCGGCTTCTTTTTTACTGAAATTATTCTGCCAGTTTGCAAATCCAGGGTTAGGTAATAATATCGACATCGGCTTCGAAAAAAACCAACAATCATATGTTTTCAGAATTAGCACTTTTGATTTGGAGTAAAATATAAAAGTTTGGGCTTTTATTGAAGATTCTACCTTTTTCAAGATATTTTTCCTCTAAATATTTAGTTTTTGTTACCTTTTTTCTCCTTTCAACAAAGTGTGGGGGCGAGGAGGGATAATTTTTAAAGAAAATAGATACCCCTGGAAAATAAAATACCTGTGATTAACATCTCCTCCCAGAACCGAAATATAAGATAAAACAAGTCTCGCAGAAAGTCCACACACGAGCACTCCTATTCCTAAGCCAACGGTTTCCGGATCTAACTTATCCACCTTAATGAACTAGAGTTAATCGATGTATTATATACAAATTATCCTATTCGGTGTAAAACCCTGAATGCAAACATATTGAAGACAGTTAAATCTGCACAAGGGTGTATATTTTCTGGAAAAATCATTCCCCCTTTTTGAAATAATTTACCCCCCCCCCCCCACAGAAGTTGGGTATATTTTTAAGGGTTTTATTTGCTAGATTAAGGAAAATAAATAAATTTTTGAGTAAGATGTATCAATAGGGAATGGATGAAAAAAAATACCATTTGAAGTCTTATTTTTCGTTTATTTTTAGATTTTTAAAGCATCCCCGCCCCATACACCCCCCCCCCCCAGCTCGGGGTGTGGGGTTTATTCTTAAAATTGTAACTTCACTCTTTAAAGATAAAAAATAAAAAAACAGTATTTAGTCTTATTTTAAATTAATCCGGTGGACAACAATAGGTAAAGATTAAGAATTTTTTAGAGATTAATGATACAAAAGTTTCGACCTGAGCTCATGAAATTACCTGGATCTCTGTCCCGATTAGCCCGAAGAGCAGAGGCTGAAAAATAATCCACATTTGAGCGAGGGTCTGGGAAACTGGATTATCCTCCTTCCAACCCTGCCGCCTCCACCCTAATCCTGAGATAATAGGATTAATTAATTAAAGGGAATGTAACCTCTATGCAAAGATGGCAACGCCCGTTTCACAACAGTTCCCTTTATCGGATCAAAATTCAATAAGATTTAAATGTTTACAATCTTGAAAACTGATTATTTTTAATTGTGGTTTTATTAAACAGTGACATGCGTATTTCTGCTTCAGAAATACAATGTAAGAATTATCGAAATTTAACACTTCAAGATAGAAAAACAACTTTATTTTCCACATTCTTCTATAGTGAAAAAGTTGAATGTTGCATCTTTCTGAATTTGTATGGACACTACGTTCTTCGGTATTAGTCATTTTTAACAATTTTCTCCTTATAGACGCAACAGATAGAAGTAAGATTAGTAGCAATCAAAATCGCTTTTTTATCGCATTAAGCCTATACCCCCTTTCATTTTTCGCGAACACTCCCTTTAAAGGACGAAGCTTAAACATAGGATGTTGCTTAGTAGCTAAGCGACTGAACTTAATATATAACACGTAAACAATCTACACCAATATTTTAATAATTTAATATTCCCACAAACTTTTGTTTAGCAATATTCCTTTCCTTAAAAAATATATTTTAAGTATATTGAATAAATAACTCGCTTGTTTATTTCAATGGCTAAAAAAAATAAAAAAAAATATTAACCTCCGCTTCAATAATCGAAATAAATTTATTAGTGTATTTATTTAAAATAAAATGCAACACATTATAAACCTACGAGCAGAAAAAGTAAGATGTTTAAACAGTAAGAATATATCAACAGTCTAAAGTTGTATTCTGTATGTATGGAATGGTAAAATTGCATTTTTTCTCCCTTTCAAACAATGATTTTTTGTCAGGGTTTTGATAACTGAATCACCAACTTTTATTTCTATTTACAATATGTAAAATGTACATTTCTATAACAAAACACACACGATAAGTCTGTTAACAGAAAAATAACATTTCAAATGTTTGAAAAATTTACATTGAAATTTATTTTAACTAGGAAAATTAATCAATCTCTTAGTCCTATTTACATTTTCTTTAAATCTATATTTGGTTCTTATTGCAAAATTTAACACTATAATGAACAAACAGGTTACTAAATTATATAAATTAGAATTTAACAATAAAATACAAACAGTTCAAAAAGTATTTCAAAATTTTAAAATTATAGATATCAGAACAAACAAAGTGTCATAAAGGGGTATTTTTTTTTTGTCAGAACTGTAAATACGGTGAAAAATAACATATATTCTCGCTAAATAGAAAGGAAAAAAATTCAATGAGCTGACTAAGATAGATATCCTAAATACAGTTCTTCTGATCCCCCTCCCTGCTCACCTTCTCAACAAGATTAAACTCTCTTGATTCCAAGTTCGACTAAGATAGAATAGTCACGGAAGGATATTTTTCTTTTCTGAAAGAAATTGAGGGGGAAGGAGGGTTCACGACACATTTAATAAGATACCACCGAATCACTCACCAAGATGAGGATAATTTTCATCAAAGAACTTGAGGGCATCATTTACAGAAAAATTTGAGAATATGACAGTCCACTTTTTATTGCTGTTCCTTGGATTATCATCAACTTCAACTCCATGTTGCTCGTCCTCATCCTCTTCCGGGGTTTCAGGATCAGATTCAACATTATTTTCATATCCATCTTCATTGTCATAGATTCCTTCCATAAATGAAATATCAACATTTTCACGGTCCTGTTCTACAAACTGAAATGCCGAGAACTCATTTTCTATATCTGTGTTCTCTTGGATATCAGACTTCTCTTGGCCTCCATGTAGGATATCTTGGTCTTCAAGTTGGATATCAGTGTCGTCCAGTTGGATATCTGTGTCCTCTAACTGAATATCTGGGTTCTCATGTTGGATATCTGTGTTCTTGGAACCATCAATCTCTGGTTCTTCTTCACCCATCTCGTCTTCATGTACCCGTTTACAGTGCTGGATTCGAAAGAAATTAAGTGAGAACTTTTTGCCACAAAACTCGCAAGGAAATTGGTCCCTTACTTCGGATTTGACAGTCTTTGAATCTATTATTATATTGTCTCTAAGTTTGTTACCAACGTCCACATTTTGTAAATCTTGATTCTCGTAATTCAAACCTTGAACCGCGATATTTATCCTGTTTTGCTGCATATCCTCATGCTTCAAGATATCCTGACCTCCATTGCAGTCAGTGTCACCCGTCGAATCTCTCTTCCCTAGGATCTCAATAGTTACATCTTTATCCATCTCTGCTCCATGTACCCGTTTACAGTGCTGGATTCGGGAGAATTTGAAAGAGAACTTACTATCACAAAACTTACAGCCAAATTGGTTCATTACTTCGTTTGAAGTTTTAGATTCCATTTTCATATTATCTTTAAGTTGAATATATGGGTCCACGAGTTGAATATCTGGGTCCATAAGTTGGGTATCAGGTTTCACAAGTTGGTTACCTGGGTCCACGAGTTTGAAACCTGGGTCCTTGAGTTGGATACCTGGGTCCACGAGTTGGATATCTGGGTCCACGAGTTGTGTATCTGTGTCCTTTGTCTTCATAACAAGGTCCTTAAAACGGATTTCTGGCTCCTGTAGTTGGATATCAGGATTGACAAGATGGATATTTGCGTGCTCATGTTTGATAACTTGGTCCTTAGTATAAATTAAATCTTGGTCCTCCTTTATATCCTGACCTGCATTAGTGTTGTCAGTGTCAACTCCCTTCTCTTTCTTAACTGGGTTCACACTAGTAACATCTTTACCCATCTCTGCTCCATGTACCCGTCTGTAATGTTGGATTCGAGAGAATTCAAAAGAGAACTTTCTGTCACAAAAATTGCAGGAAAAATTGGTCGTCGCGTTGGATTTAAAGGTTGTAGAATCCATTTTTATCTTGTCACTTGAAAGTTCTTGAGGTAAAGAATCGTTGCTGTACAATTCTCCAACTTCAGATGTTGTCCTATTATGAAATCTTTTTAAATGTTTTCGAATATAATCTTCAAGTGCAAAGTTTCTGGTGCAAAGTAGGCATGAAAATGGCTTTAACCCCGTATGAAGAAACTCATGATTCCGAAGACCGCTCTGCTTAAAGAATTTCAGTCCACATTTAGAACAGCTAAACTTTCGCCGAGATTGTTTGGGATTCCGCTTTTCTGCTAGCTTAGCTCCAAGGACACAGTGAAATATATTGGATTCTTTAGACTTCACCAGTTTCAAATATGTAGAGCTCTTTACAGAACTCAAAGCCATCGAGTCTTCGTTTGTTTTAACCACTAAGTCGTTGGAGTTACTTCCGTGCCTTTTTCGCAAATGCCGTAGAGCATATCTCTTAAATGCAAACTTATCACCGCAGACAAAACATGAGAAGGGTTTTAACCCCGTGTGAGTAAACTCATGTTGTTTTAAGTATGATCTCTTTTTAAACTCCAGTCCACAGGTTGAACAACGAAGTATTCGACAGGACAGTTTAGGTTTACAAGGTTCTACGGGATCCAAAGTTGCCTTGGATTCATAATCAATGTTGAAATCGGATTTTTTCTCCAACATTGCTTCATCATACTCTTCAATACCCTCAAATGTATCCAGGCCAGTATGAATCAGGGATTCAGTATTGTGAACTAGTCGACAATGCTTGCGAACATATTTTCGCAATGCAAACATCCGACCGCAAAAATCGCAATTAAACGGTTTCTGTCCAGAGTGTAGATATTGATGCTCGCGAAATTTGGAAAGACATGGTGATTTTAATCCACATTCGGTGCATTTAAATTTAGATTGGGATCCCATTTCTTGATATAAATCCTTTAATCTTCACGGAGTGCTATTATTGACAATGTGATCCATATGAGAATTCAGCTGACACTAAACACTTAACTAGACAGTCTACAAGATTAAACTTGAAAGAAAACACCTGATTCGGCGAGCTGTGAGGGTTTAAGCTTTATATACAGCTATATGACTCAATAAGTAAGTATAGTATTAATTTACACATTTAATACAAAATAATAATGTAAGATGGTTCAGCTAAAAAAAACACAAAAGAAACTTTAAAATGAGCCAATTGAAAATATAATGTTAAATAATTTTCTTTTGATCGGTATTTGTTGAAACAAACTATTAATATTGAAATCTCAACTGAAAATACATTCATTGAGAGCATTTTCAAGTAGTATACTTAGTCAGCACTCAAATAATCAAAATATTTTCAGGAATGCATTAATTAAACTTAAAAATACATATTAAATATAAATAAATAATATGAATAAAACGTGTTATCTATAATATACATACTTTGCTGGTCAGTTTGTACGTTTGTATCCAAAAACGTCAAACTCAAAACGGCCGAACCAATTGGACCCAAATTTTGTGTGGGACCTCACATGACACCAGGGAAGGTTTATGATTGATCAAAATTTTTAAAATTAGCCTCCAACAAAATTAGATTTTCATTAAAATTAGACAATCCACGAATTTTTTGTTTTGTTTTACAAGGTACACAAAGAGAAAATATTCACAATTGAAATATATATTTATTAAAGTATATATAAAATATATAAACGTTGCTTGTCTGTCTGTTTGTTTGTACACAATAAACGTCAAAACCGGCTGAACCGATCGGGCCCAAACTTTGTGTGTAACCTCAAATGACCCCAGGAAGGTATTGTAAAAATTTGCCTCCAACAACATTTGATTGTCATAAAATATTGAAAACCCAAGATGTTTTTTCTAATAAAATCCGCGAACTATTTTAGTTTGTTTTGTTTTACAATGATTTCAAAGAGAACATTTTCACAATTGAAATAAAACACGGGCGCGAAGCGCCCAGGAAGCCTACGTGTGTATATTAAAATTAGTGTGAACATAGTTGAGATTTATATGTGCTTAAAACATCGTAAAATGTCCAACCCTGAAAGGAAAATAGTTGAAACAGACGGCGTTAGATGGCATATTTTAAAAATATTCTGACCAAATATAGCATGCTTGTTCAGTACGAGTATGATCTTTATATCTAGGAGTATCAGATTAGATAATCAGTCTTAATTATCTAATCATATATTCAAGAATATTTTCTATTGTTAGCGGATATTTTGGTTTACGTCAGGTTGAGAATATTTTGAGCAAGCGACGCAGTGCGGGTGGTTTAGTATGTCTTACCTGCGACAAATGCTAGAACTAGAACCCCCAAGGCTCCCGCTCCAGGAAACCCCGCCATTGCGCTCCCAAAGAGAGCAAACAAGCTCCCACCAAACAACAGCACAACTCTTAACAACACATTGGGATGTGGCGAAGGAGGCAGAAAGATGACTAGAACTCCCCAGATAAATCCTCCCAGGACCCCGACTATGGCCTCTAAAGGACCCTGGAGGATCAGCTGGTAGAGATTATCCTGGTTTGTATTAAAGGTTACTCCAAGTAGGATTGTGAACACAGATATCGCGAGTACATCATCAACACTAGCCGCTGCTATTACTAGTGTAGGTATTCCCTAAATATAATAAAACAATCATTTTCATTCTTGTCGTTTAGAAAATAAATAATTTAGATGAAACTCTTCACCATTAATTTCTTAACTTTATTTTCTATTATGATAAAAAATATTTACGTAAAACGAAAAAATATTTATCAGTGTGATCATTGAAGGTTTCAATTTTAGTTGAAGGGAAATAATCAAGTTTCTATTAGGAAAAATAGGTTTGAATTCGAAAATCAAATACGTACGTGATTTTACCGAAGTGGGAGTTTTGCAAAATATATTCACTTCTGCATAATGCAAACTAAATAGCGAACAAGGTACACTGTATAAGGTTTAGTGGGGTAACCATTTAAAAATTTGTGAAAAAATAAACAAAATATGCAATCTTTTTGATTTTCAATATTTTTCATTTTGGTATATTAAGATCTTAATTTTTTATATCTTTTCATACCCACAATGGTAGATTTAGATTATTTTATGTTTTGAAAGAGGCTTCCATTTCAAAGAAGAATAAATTCTGTAACAAAAATAATTTCAGGAAAAAACTGCTGAAGTAAAATGTTCTTAACGATTTATCCAAAGTCAACTTTTGCTTTTTTATTATTCACTAAATATTAACAAAACTGAGCTACCCCGAGCCCAAAACTTAAGTCAGGGTATCGTTATAAAAACCAGTTTTGAAACCCGAGTTTCACGAATGGGGTTATGTGTTTTTTCGAATCTCTTAAAATTAAAAACTTAAATGTTAAGACCCCGAAATGGAAACTCGGGAGTTTCATTCAACGATACTCTTTTAAATTTCGGGCTCTGTCGTACACTGTCACTGTACAGGGTCAAAGGGTACATATAAATACCTTCTCTACTCCGAACCCTCGTTCCTGAAGGGAGAGAAGACATGGCACAACAACTGCAGGAGATACTGCAGCTAGGATGAACCCGAGCATGAATCCCCAGAGCCAGGGGAACCCAAGGAGAAGATGACTAGAGATAGCCACCACAGTTGCTTCAACCAGACAAGGGAAAAACGCCAACCTGTAGGAATAACTTTTAAAGCACTGGGAATTAGGGGTCCATTTAATTCCATTTCGGATCCCAAACGGGATCGGGGTTGAAAGTACATTGAAGTGCATGCAATTAAACTTTATGTGTCATTGTGAATTTTGGCAAGTTTTCTGTGTACGTGCATTACACTTCAGAAATGTGTACTGCATTTGGGGTGTTAAAATATGTAAAACTAACAGAAATCAATAAAAAAGAGATTACAAATTATGATATAAAGAAAAAGAAACCTCCCTTGCAGTATACATTTCTACAACTTGACATCATACTCCTAATTGTTTAAAACAAACCCCCTAACATCAATCTATCAACATTTGGGGCCGTACTGGATGGAATATTATGGACCCTTGCTGGGAATACTTTTAAATATATTACTTTCGAGGATTTTTTTTTTTTTTGATGGGGGGGGGGGAGGGGTCAAAACTCAAAACTTAAAAAACTTCTAAGTTTACCCCCTTTATGGCAATATTTACACAAAAAATCATTTATTTTTCCAATTCTTCAAAAAGAAAATTCATCGAGAAAATATATAGAAAAACACATCCTAGTCATTTTCGGTTATAAAAAGATAATTTTACTTTTTTCACCTGAAAACCATTGCTGAGAGTTGCTTCAAGGCTCTAGGATCCAGGCCTAGTCCTGCCCTGAGCAGTATGACCGCTAGGGCGGTAGATCTTAGAGCAGCTGACCAGCTAGGATCCAACCCACGTCCAACATCAATATAAGGAACATTTTTCAACACAATTCCTGAATGATAAATTATCAAAATTTCGATTTAATTTAGATGGGAGGCAAAAACTTTCTAAGAGGTGGGGAGGGTGCTTTTCTTGTAAAAAGAATTTTTACTCGAAATATTTAAATTTTCATACCTACAACTAGCATGCCTAGGAGGGGAGGAAGCTTAACCAGAGAAACGATCCATCCTCCTAAATATTGATGTTTTGATACGCTCACTTCTACCTTAGAAAACACGTTCCTTCATAATCTCACAAATTGAGCATATTTAGCATATTTTCTTACCCAAGAACTTGAACCTAAACCTTGAACCTGACATTGAACCTGACATTTAACCTGGCATTGAACCTGACATTGAACCTGACATTGAACCTGACATTGAACCTGACATTGAACCTGACATTGAACCTGACATTGAACCTGACATTTTAAACTTTTTAAACTCTAACCTAAACCCTAACCTTGGTCCTATCTATATGCTAACCTACATAAGCGGATGAAACTAGAGCTATTAAAGAAAAAAACACTTCCTCTCCAAACCCTAACCTAAACCCTAACCCTGATCCTGTTTCTCATCTTAGCTATATAAGCGGATGAAACAAGTTCCATTAAGTAGACACCAATTTCTCTGGGAACCTAGAACCATAACTCTAACATTGAACCTGGACTTATCTCTATCCTTATCTATTTAGTATATATGCAGTACAGATGAAACAACCGCTATTAAAGAGAAAACGGTTCCTCCGCGAACCTCGAATCTTTATAAACCTTAAACCCTGAACCTGAATCCGAACCTGAACCTTGATCCTAATTTCTATTCTTACCTACATATGCGGATGAAACAAGAGCTATCAAAGAAAAAACAGTTCCTCCGCTAACCTCGAACTGAATTGGAGAATTCCCAGGCAGAGCAATCTAGATTAATATATATATAAAAATTTATCTTAAAGGGACTATAAAATAAAAATAAAAGGGGGTATAGACTGAAACCGGAGAATCTCAGGAGTTGAACGATACCTTTAAGACATATATCTGATGTTCCTGTCTCGAGAAATTGACATAAAACTGTGTCAAAATTATACCAAAACATATATATGTAAGATATACGTCCGTATCACGTCATACATATGGATGCACGTGACAATAGTACTGCACTTATTAAGGATGAAAGATACATCCTTAATATTCTAGCGAAATATTATTATAACAACTTGCGGAACTATGATACAGAGAATGATGAAAATTGTCAAAATTTTACACTTTTCAACTCAAACTGGAAAGGCTACGAAATCTTCCTTATTGTTACCAAGATAAAGCATTGGTTTTGCTGTGATGTTCCTTTTTTTTAAAAATTAAAATTACGTCTTATCTTATCCCAACACTTATATAAAAGTTCATTTTGACGTAAATCCCAAAATTTATCATTTATGAAGCGTCTACACAATAGCAAAAATGTTATTGCTATGAGCTAAAACTTCTGAAATCAAAAACAATGATGCAGGATTATCTGAAAATACTGACCGGTCCTAGAACAGCTACAGCTGTTCCCCAGACCAGGAAAACAGCAAGGATCCAGGTGATCAGGGTTCCAACCCGACCGTGTGGAGGACACAACAAGGAGTAGCCGAACCTGGAGCAGGGCCCAGATTCATCGCTCAGGCTGTAATTCTGAAAAACAAAGTCATTTAACGGTTTAAAAAAAAATTCTAATTTGAAATTGGTACTGGTATAATTTATCTTTTTTGGCGATTTAAATATTGTTTTTTAATCTTGCTTTAATAACTGAGGAAAATATTTGAAAAAATGTTTAAAACCATTGATCACTCCTCAACCAGTCTTCAGAAGTATACACATTTCAATATCGTTCTTCATTTCATAAAACACAAAACAGTCTTTGATGGTAAAATCATAGTAAAATCAATCCAATAGATAATAATAATACAATTAGCAAACGCAATTAAATAACAGAAAGATCTGGACAGGTTGAAAAAATAAAAATCAACTCTTCATCGAAATTAGGTAATATTTATTTAGTTATTGGTTTCTGTAATGTCTCATTGTTATTTAATATTTTCTGTAGATTTCCTGGAATTTTGATTGAAAAGACGACATGTAAAGAAATCTGCAACAAATTCATGAAGAAAAAGAAATTATATATAATGATGAAAAAGGAATAATTGATTAATGATTCTAACGTTGATTTATTAACAAATTTCTTTTGAGAAATATGTTCCTAAACATGTGATAAGTTTACTGTAGATTTTCTGTTACACTTTTCGACATCTTTGTTAAATAATTAAAAGAAAATCGATTCTCAAAACTATCCCTACAAAATAGACGATCTGTGAGGATTTAAAAGATTGAATTTGCGCTCTTGATAAACAAATATGCAACGTAAAAACGTCTCATAGGTCTCAAATGAATACTAAAAAATTTGTCTACCAAATTGCATTTCAGCTCAAGTACCATCTCTAGCCAGATACTATAAATAAATAAATAAATGAAAAAGATCGTGAAAGACCCCCAATGTGGGATCCCCAGACCGACTCCCTTCAAATTAATATCAGTACCTTTACGAGTATCGGTGCAAATATTTTCTGTATCCGCGAAAGCGAAATTTCTTTAGTTTCCGGCTTCAGCTCGGACGGTTTGATGAACGGAGAGTCCGGCTCGGTTTGGTTAGACTCCGGGTCCCTGTCTTTACTGGAAGCCTGTCCCCCTGTCAAGTTAACAATCTTCTAGACAATATAAATGGTTCGAGAGGGAAGCTTTTGAATGCGGCTCTTTTTGACACGTACTAGTGTCAACCTTTCTTTAAAAAGACACCGATAATTTGATTAACCTCGGTTCCCTAAAAATTCGAACAAAAAAGTTCACACAAGGGAGAGATTTAGGTATAGACCATTTCTCCGTGCGTTTTCAATGACAGACTCATGGCGTTAAAAGTAGATTACACATTTGAAAAAAGCAAAATTCCGAAGAAATTGTTAACAAACTCAACTTTTATCAGTTTTTATATTTGCGCTATATTTCCACACAACTCGATCAGATTAAAAATAAATTTTAAGGATAAGAAAAATTGAGAAACTATTTCAGTAGACCACTCTGAAAAATATCTGTTTAAGTAAATGAGTTACACACAAAAAATTCTTATATTTCCAAATTAGTAATAAAATTGCTTACAAAGTCACAAATATTATAAAAACCAATAACCACAAGTTACATTATAATTGATTTAATTTATCTATTATCAAATCGCACGAAAAAACAAGCTCCAGTTTTCTAATATAACTTTTTCCTGTAGATTTTCAGGTGCTTTTTTCTTATCGGACGCCATTTTTCGCATCTATAATTTCATCTGAAATCAAGAAAAAGAATGTTCTCCGTACCAAGCTTAAAACAACCATAACTATTACGTGCGCGCCGGAGCGCTTAGTATTATGCAAAGAAAGGCGCTCCGGCGCGCACAGATCTGGTGAACAAGATACAGAATACATATTTCCGGATTGTTGGCATGATGTGGAACCAGGATCAGGATGAAGAGCAGGAGCTGGACAAGGACTAGTTCTTTTTGTGCATTAACTCAACCTGAAATAAAATTATAAAAAACATTTTGTTTGCTTAATTTAAACATGTTTTCAACCCCGGTCGCGCAAGAGGCCCATTAGTTTTTTAATCTATATTATTTTTGTTCGTGTTTTTTCAAAAGAGAAATGATTTTAAAGTTTTTTGTTTGTTTTTAATACATATGAAAAATAGTGTCGTTTTAAACATGTTGACTGTCCCTGGGTGTACTAGCTTATGACCAACAAATACAGCAATTTGATATGCTTTATAGCAACCTTTGCTCCCGATAAATCTCTTACATTTTTTCTTAGATTTCTTACTCCAATATCTCCAAACTTTACAAAGTATGTTTTTTTTCTTTCAAATAATTTGTGTTTGGACTATAATGAGTAATAGTATTTATTCTAAAATCTGCAAAGTTAAGCTTAACTATAACCAAATAAAGGACTTTACTCTACAGTATTTAATATTTAATATTTAAGTAGATCATAATAAATCGAATTTGATGGTCTTATTTTATGAAAAGTTTAGACTATCTTTAAATATCTCCTGTACTCAAAGTAATCTAAATATTAACAGCAAGATTTTTAGTTTTACATTTGAATGTCTCATTTTTCTCTCTCGATAAGTTCGGTAAGTTCGAACAATAGCAAACTTTTTACATTTAAAAATGGGCTATTTGTGAACTAAATAAAATCAATAGGAAAGGCTAAGGTATATTATATGGCAAACAACATATATTTACTTTGGAGGGGGGGGGGGGGGCATTAGAATCTTTTTTATCTTACCTGAGTGGATGCTATATGAGCCATATGTTCCTTGATGCTGTGAAGGTTGGTTTTCCAACCTAATAGAAGAGAGTGAAGCTGTTGCCAGTCTCCAGTACCGAAGGTTCGGTGCATTGTGGAGGAAACATAAACTACTCCATCTCCCTTAATAAACACAGTCAAAAATCTTTAATTGTCAACATAAATCCAGTTATGAAAACCTAAGTGTACTTTTGAATTAAGGTTCTGAGCTTATTCGAAAAAAATGAAAAAGGAAGCTTAAAATAGAAATGTGGGGGGGGGGGAAGGAAATGGGGGTTCAAGAAAATGTGTCCCCCCACAACCCCCCCCCCCCGGAAAAAAAAATATTTTATCCCCGTCTAACCTGAGATATTTTAGCCCTGACGAGTCTCGTCTTGATGACGTCTATGAGAAACTCCTCCACCTCGTTCTCGTTCAACTGCATTGAGTCCTTCACCTCGGCAAACGTGATCTCACTCCTATTCTCAGCCATCTACAATAGTTAGATTAAAGCATTAGTTGTAAAATATTCTCATTTTTCAATCTGAAAATGGATAACTTTTAATTATGGATTGAAAAACAAGGAAATTCCAATTTCAATCTTTAATTCTTGCTTTTCCCTGTATCAATTTGATGTCCCTATTTTTCATTATTTCCGCAGATCATCAAAAATCAAAGATGAAAATAGGGAATGCAAATTATGCTGAATAAAAATGATGTCCTGTGTTGACCTGCATAAAGCTGAGAAGTTTCATTTTCCTCAGATTATCTTCATGCTTCAACCCGAGTCCGTTCACAAACTCCTGGCAAAACAGAGTTGTAAAAGGGAGATGAAAATTGTAGATAACTTGAGGTTTCTAAATTTAATTTGATGTGCTCACTTATTTTTAAGTAACGAAAAAACGAGAAAAATGTCACAAAAAAACACTAAAAACGACATGTATTTTTCTTAGAGCTAAACGATAAAAATCTCATGAAACCCTTACGGATAAAGGTTGTTTCTTTCGTTCTGTTAAAAGATAGCACTGTCCTATAATCAGTGCTTAGGATCCATTTGATTTTGATGCAGATCCGGATCCAAATCCGGATCCAGGTCATTTGTTTAAGATTTACTGAATTTATTTTAACAACAAATAATTTTCAAATTTTTTGTTTTATTTTTTTCGCTTATTTTTTTCCTAAAACCATTCAGAAATGAGGAAATTCTTATAATCTCTCTTTTTTTCAAAAGTTCAGATTTGGGTTTTAGGAGTGAATAAGATTTTTACCCTTGGATCCGGATCCGGATCCGTGGATCCGCATATTTTTGCGGATCCTGATCCAGGAAGCCAAAATCTTGCGGATCCAATGGATCCGGATCCTAAGCACTGCCTATAATACATTTAAACATTTTGCAGAAACCTAAAGTTTTCAAATCTAATAACGAAAACAGTATTTAAACATAAAAACAAAAACTAGGCATCAATAAATTACTGTCATTAATAACAATTTTTTAATTTCCTTTTAGAAAATTATACCTTTTGTTGCTGATAGAACTTGATATAAGCATCCAGTTTCTCTCCAACAAATATACTAAATTAATAATAATATAAGATCCACAAAATATCAATAATGACAGATTTAATCTGACAATAGTGAATAGAATTAGCAAAATAAAAAGAGAGCGAGTGTTAAATTAAAAACGAATTTCATTAAAGAAAAGAAATTAATAATAGAATTTTGTCTTAACTTTCAATCAGAATCAAGTTAACATTTCTTAAAGGAATTTTACACTCGTCACTAATTCCAACTCTTTAATCCATATATCTTTGAAATCTGGTGTGATAAACCTTCGATATTTTAAATTAAGAATTCGATTAGATCAAATAGTCTATTAAAAGTCTTCACCATTAGGTTATAAAGATTTAAGGAAATGGCGAGTGTTAAGCTCCTTAACAGAATATAATAAAAGAAACCTTAGAAGTTGATGAATAAGTTCTCCCTCCAGGAACTTGACAGGTTTCAACTGCAGCAAGTGATCCAACAGGAAAGTGTTAGGATCTTGAATGAATATTCAGATTAGTAGGAATTATATTTCTCTGTCTATCTGGCTGTATCCAATAAACGTCAAAACGGCTGAACCGATCGGGCCAATTTTTTATATAATTATTCTTCAGATGACACCAGGGCAAAGTTTACAGACCGTCAATTTGTACAAATTTGTTCTGGAAAACCTCAACATTTCTTATTTTTTAAAACGCATCAATTCAAAAGGCAAAATCCGCGAAAATTTGAAAACGAATAAAAATGGCAAATTTCAGCGCAAGAGATCCCTAGAAATTTATACATGAAAGAAGTTTAGAAAGACCCAATAGCAGCTTTCAAGTTGATTTCTTAATTTTGCCCCAAATTCAGACATGGTCGTTTGAAGTCTCAGTTCGAATTTTAACCTCAAAAACTACCAAAAATAATTCAGAAGTTCCGGAAACACTGGAAGAACAAAGAGAAATAAAGTAATGTAATTAGCAATTTAATTTTCCAATCAAACGATACATTGATAAACAAAATTTTATACCAACCATCTAAGCTTTAAAACCATAACTAAGTATTACCAGCTAGTGAAGCAATGATACAACGCTGAGCCTCCTCTCTCGCTTGGCTCGCGTTCTCCGTGGTGTATGTACCGAGAAGCTCAACCATTACACGGCTAGCATCATCAGATTTACCATTTAGCAGCAACATCTTAACATAACAATTTGATAACAAAATTCAGTAAATTTTAAAGAAATAACCTGGGTTCGGATCTAGATCCATTTTTTCCAGTGCCAAAATTAAATGCGTCCTAAGCACTGATTTTATATCAGAAATTCGAAGTAAATTCATATAATAATACAAGACATGTTCCCTCTGGCCGGCAAAACGGCTGGACCGAATGGGCTGAAATTTTGTTTATGACTCATGTGTAGTCTGGGGGTGTTAGTGTTTGTTCGTTTAAAATTTTTTTTTTCCACGAGTAACTTCGGGCTCATCAGCTTAACCGATCTGGACAAACTTTTTGTGGTTATTATGGATCCCAGAGCCCGTAATTAACCACGTAGCAGTCAGTGAGACTAAGTCTCGAGATTTCGAATTCAAGTTGCAATTAATTTTCCATAGAGTGGGGTTTATCAAACCGGTTTAGTATTGTATTTGACAGAATTTCATGGTTGGAATTGGCTGAATAGAGAGATTCGATTAGAATAAGACTCAACATTGAGACTAATTTTCCATTAAAAGCAACCAAGGCCGGTTCTATTGTCATTGGACCTGACTCCATCAGTCGAGCAAATGAGCTGGCAGCTGTCGAACACGAAACACAAGCTGTCACCAGCTAATTCAAAAGTTGAGTCTATGATTGAGCCTTAAACCTGGATCTAAGGAATTTAGACTCGAGTGGAAACTTTAAAATCGCGGGCTCTGGGAAGATTTGTGGCCGGTCAAAATTTTAATAGAAAAAATCCCAAACATCTTTTACCTCGTGGAGAAGCCTGTAGAGCTTCTGGACCTGGTCGCTGGAAGGCGGTGCCTTGTTAAACATGGTTTTGGTGGTCGCCATATCCTTGTAGACAGTGTGGAGCTGGTGGGTCCTCCCTGCCACGCCCACCAGGTAGTAGTACACCTGGAACCTCATGCTGGAGTTATCGTCCAGGGACATGAACAGGAACCATAGAACCTAAATACAAGTTAGAGGATGATATTTTAAAAATTGAATTATATTTTTTTCAGTTATCGACTAAGCTTTAACAATGAAAAATGTAAATATTCAAAGAGTATATTTTTTATTTGAACCTCAACTCCATTATGAACATTGGACACCACAAACAGGTCCAAGTAAAAGGAATGAGGAAGAGTGTATTTCAATCATAAAAAAAACTTTAAACCCCACTTTAAAAGATACATTAATGAAATAAATGAGAAGCCTGGTTTTGCTGGTTACCTTGAGACAGACCATGCCAAGCTGCTGGGTTGGAGCCTTGCTCAGCTTCTCACAGAAAGAGATGATCAGTTCCTCCTTGGTGATCAAGGCTAGCATACTCACTATACCATTCATGATCCCTTCAACCTAAAGTATATAATACATGGTTCGTGATCCCCTCAACATTGAATATACAATACATGGTTCATGATCCCCTCAGCATAAAAAATACAATACAAGGTTCAGATCAAGAGACCTAGATTATACAATACAGGGTTCATGATGCCCTCAATGTAGAGTATACAATACATGGTTCATGATCCCATCAACCTAGAATATACAATACATGGTTCATGATCCCCTCAATCTAGAATATACAATACATGGTTCATGATCCCCTCAACATAGAATATACAATACAGGGTTCATGATCCCCTCAACATAGAATATACAATACATGGTTCATGATCCCCTCAACATAGAATATACAATACAGGGTTCATGATCCCCTCAACATAGAATATACAATACAGGGTTCATGATCCCCTCAACCTAGAATATACAATACAGGGTTCATGATCCTCTCAACCTAGAATATACAATACATGGTTCATGATCCCCTCAACATAGAATGTACAATACAGAGTGCATGATCCCCTCAACCTAGAATATACAATACATGGTTCATGATACCCTCAACCTAGTGTGAACAATACAGGGTTCATGATCCCCTCAACCTAGAGTGTACAATACATGGTTCATGATCCCCTCAACCTAGAATATACAATACATGGTTCATGATACCCTCAACCTAGTGTGTACAATACATGGTTCATGATCCCCTCAACCTACTGTGTACAATACAGGGTTCATGATCCCCTCTACCTAGAGTGTACAATACATGGTTCATGATCCCCTCAACCTAGTGTGTACAATACAGGGTTCATGATCCCCTCAACCTAGAGTGTACAATACATGGTTCATGATCCCCTCAACCTAGTGTGTACAATACAGGGTTCATGATCCCCTCTACCTAGTGTGTACAATACATGGTTCATGAACCCCTCAATCTAGAGTATACAATACAGGGTTCATGATCCCCTCAACCTAGTGTATACAATACAGGGTTCATGATCCCCTCAACCTAGAGTATACAATACAGGGTTCATGATCTCCTCAACCTAGTGTGTACAATAAAGGGTTCATGATCCCCTCAACCTAGTGTATACAATACAGGGTTCATGATCCCCTCAACCTAGAGTATACAATACAGGGTTCATGATCTCCTCAACCTAGTGTGTACAATAAAGGGTTCATGATCCCCTCAACCTAGAGTATACAATACAGGGTTCATGATCCCCTCAACCTAGTGTGTACAATACAGGGTTCATGATCCCCTCTACCTAGAGTGTACAATACATGTTTCATGAACCCCTTAACCTAGAGTATACAATACAGGGTTCATGATCCCCTCAATCTAGGGCATCCAATACAGGGTTCATGATCCCCTCTACCTAGAATGCACAATACATGGTTCATGATCCCCTCAACCTAGAATATACAATTCAGAGTTCATGATCAGGAAACCTAGAGTATACAATACGGGGTTCAATATCCCTTCACCTAGTGTGTACAATTCAGGGTTCATGATCAAGGCTAGCATACTTTCCATACATTTCATGATATATTTATCATTTGGGATTCTTAAAAACACAAAATTATGTTTTACAGCAGATCAGGCACGTTTTAATTTATTGTATGAACATGACCCATAGCTTCTCTATTACGTCAGAGTATAAGGTAAATAACCCCTATCCACCTCTCCAATCTTTTAATACTTCTTGGGAAATAGACTTTAAGGGAGCCTTTGTGGATTATCAATATACGGAACTCGATTAAAATGAAGTCACTATAAATGTATTCTTACATCACTCTCAGCAGCAGAATTAAAGCAAACATCACAAACTCCAATTATCTTCTGAAGGTCGTCTTCTAATCCTAGTTCAGATTTCTCCTCGGAAATATCTGCCCCCTAAATTAATAATAGAATTATCTTTAACATAACTGAATGATTAGGAACTCAGATCTAATATGACAAAACCAATTACAGAAAATAACAAATATTATAATACAATTAAATATGACTAACATTAAGAAGTCGAGCAAAGTAAATTATCTCAATATGCAATTGCATCCTAAAAACCCACAAGCGGAAACTATACTAAATTTGAAAAAAAAAACAAGGTCGGGGCTTCAATATAGAATGAATTTAATATTAGATGGCTTTACTCGATATTTGAACCAACTAACTCTAAACGAAACCTTGTGATTTTGCTACTGTTTTATTGTTCGTTGAATCACTTAGACCCAATAAAGATTTATATAATAATAATAATAATAATATTTGAAGAAAAAACTTTTGTTTGCAGCGATCAAGTCCTTGATCCCTGTATACAATTTAACTGGAGGTAGCTTCAAAATAGAAATACCATTCTTAAAGCCCTTGCCTGTAATAGCTGGGTTATGCTTACCACACACAAAGCTATTGGATAATCTGTTCTAAACTATGGGGTCTGTCCTAATATACGATTTTTGGACCCCCCCCCTTCCAAAAATCGTATACTAGGAAATTACCAAACTATGGGTGTCCTATATGGACTCCAGCATTGAGCAAAATAGAGAACGGACTTACCAAAGATTTAAAGTAGGCTCGGAGCTCCTCGACTTGTTCATCCTGATTAATGTCTATAAATACGGGAACATTCATTCTTCTGAAAATATATCTAAATGAAACTAAATAAAGTAGGATACAGAAGAACGAGAAGAGCAGAACGTCTAACAATTTTTTATTTACGTCATTTTAAATATTTAGTATAAATTAATTCAAAATATGTGTGTCCGGTAGTTTTTCACCAAATATAAGTACAATACAAGAGAGCATGGGTTGCGTAGTGTAGTGTTCAGTGTACACTTCTAAACTACCTGCCTTATGCATTTTTATAAATGTCGTCTTTGTATTCTTTATTATTTTTAAAAAATTAAAAAAATTAGTTAAATTGAACATAAACAATTTTTTAACGTTGTAAAACGTTAGTCCAAATAAACAATTGTCCAAAAGAACATTAGTTCAATCGATCATTAGTCCAATTGATATGGCAACAATGCCCATTTTTATCCGTAGGAGGTGAAGACGACAGACGGTGAGAAAAATTTTCCAAACGCGACAATTTTTTAATTTTTGCGCACGGCATGTGAACAAAAATACTGTCGTCGTTTAAAGGAAAAGTTCTCAGTCGAGTTACCCTGGATATTACCCTGGAAAAATTTACTCTAGAGTTAACCCTAGTTCCAAATTCACCATTTAACTGGGTTTGATACGTGCAATATCGTTATATATTTTGTATCTGTTGCAGGGATGATGAAGGCCCCTGTTGAAGTTCAGTTTGCACAAAAATTAGCTGCAAACGATAAACTGACTCGAGATAAAGCTTTGAGGAAACTCAAGAAATGGTTTCACACAAGATCTTCTGTTTCAGCGCCTTTTCAAGATGATGAACAACTTAGGTTTTAATAATCAATCTTTACTTTATATTATACCGTTTCTTATTGTAAATTTTGTACATCCTGCCGTCTCTGTTAAATCAATGAACCATGGGGTCTGTCCTAGTGAACGATTTTTGGACCCCCCCGCCCCCCAGGCCCCCCCTCCTAGATCAATTAAAATTAGTATTTATGTATTATTATTTAGG